GAGGCTTTGTCGGCGAGAGGGGAAGCCAAGGGGAGGGCTCGACCAAGGAAGGAGGCCGATAAAGGAGAGCTCGGACCTGAGAAGGAGTTAGGCAAGGGAGAACTCAGATCAGCGGCAGCAGGGCACCTGAGTTTGGGAGGCCGGCAGGATGCCGTCTGTGAGAAAATGAAGCCTCGAGCGCGGCTGGCCGAGAGGAAGAGGAAGGTGGCGGCCCTAGGCTGCACGACTGGAGGGTTTCCGATGTGGCAGAGGGCGTCGGCGGCTTCGTTCGCCCTCGAGGAGTCAGTGGCGAGAAGGAGGAGACCTCAGAGCTACGGTTCGCGAGAGCGGGCTCGGGCGACTGCTATGTCGCGAAGCAGAGGGGATAAGGGAGAGAGAGTGTCGCGCGTGGGGTTAAAAAAAGGATAATCTTTCTCTGTTTTTTTTTAATTTTTATTAAAAAATATTATTATTAATTAAAACTCACCTTATATTTTTCGCCGAACACTCTATTGTGGTGAAATGAATGTCCTCTCTAGGTAAAATCAACGCTCTGGACGCGTTAGCGCAGTCCGTTTCACCATCAGGGGTCATCTAGACAACTTCGTCAATGATCAGGCCAATTCGAGTCAATTTCCCGCGTGACGCGACGATTAATATTTGTCGATCCAATTGAAGTCATCCGATGAACAAAAATGTCGACCGACCTTCGCCTAAGCGAAAGCCAAAGCCTGATTACGTGCCACTCAACACGCGCTGAAAGGTCCTAGGTGGGTGCCTGAACTATCAGATATTATGGACGGGCCGTAAACTATTCTGAGCTATGCAGATGGACATCCTTCACTCGTGATATAAAAAATTGATGGCAACAGGGAGTGTAAAATAAGGTGTCTAATATGCTCACTAATACCTGTCCCTAAACACTTTTTTCCTGGATTATTTGAATTTAGGTACTACTGATCTCTTTCCTTTTGTCCCATTGACAATCCTGTACAAGTATCTTCCACTATATTAGAATCAGAGGATATAAAGATAGCTACACATTTTACTCCCTGTTTTGCTAAAAAGAAACAAGTTTATTTTGTGTTTAGGTCAATATATTAAGGGGGCACCATCATCCTCCACTCCATTCCATAAAAGACCATCTTTTTTCGTCCAAATTATTTTGTAATGATTCTTCAAGCTTTCAATATCCTAATTCATATCAAAGCCTAAATCTAGCCCAAAGCTTATGACATTGGTGAAACGGGGTTATGGGAAACAACTTGAAGCTAGGACAATGAAGTGATTAAGCACGTTTCTATATTACTCTTTATATTATATATGTTTAAAATAGATGGGATAAACTTTCATCACATCTTTTACTATTTGATACGAACCAGGATGATTTTTCACAAAAGTTAGGGCAACCAAATATTTTATTCCAATAACACCCAACAACACAACTCAAATACTTAAAGTTAAACACCTATAATTTGAGAGATAGGAGATCTCTCCCAACCCCTACAATTTGAGAGAGAGGCGATATCTTTCAAACCCTCAACATAAGACTCAACACTACAATCTCATGCGTAGCCTAACCTTAAGTACAATAAGCCCTATTTCTACCTCCCAATAATAACTAATAAAAAACGAAATTGCCCTTAGGCACCGACGTAACATTTCCCTCATCCCGAATAAATATTGTCTTCAAGTTGAGAAAAAAAAAAACTACCACTTGATAAAGTTGAGTAGTTCTCACTCATAAATTGACTTGAGCTGGCCCTCACCGTTAACACTTGCTTCAAATAAGTCATGAGTCGTTGACACTGCATGAGGATTGCGTGTAATTCATAGCCTGAAAAATCTGCATCTATAGTGAAAGGTTGGTTGAAATTCGGTAATGCCAACATTGATACACTTGTCATGATCTTCTTTAACTTCTCAAAAGTTTGGTCTTCACTTTCTTCTACTAAATTTATCCTCCAGTTTCTCCATCATCAACCATAAAATCAAATTACAATACTTTATGAACTTTCGGTAGTATTCTATAAGTCCCAAAAATCATCTTAACCCTTTCAAGGTCTTGAGTAGTGCCTACTTTGATATAGTTGTCACCTTCAATGGATCCGCTTGACACCAAGCTCTTGCATAAACTAGAGTCGGTGCGAAGCATCATCTTCCTCCCCTCCACCCTAATCTCCATGGTCAGAGATTTCCAATCCACCGACATTTCTTCGATCGTCTATAGCCACTTCGCCCTCAGAATCACATAAGTACTTCGTAAATCCAAGGGAAGGACCCACCTGTGTACACTGTAATATTAATATCAATTCCCTTTAAATTCCTCGCCTTTTCTTCACCTTCCCTGTTGCCATCATAACCCAAAAACTTCTTGTATCTACCAACTTTAACCTCAATTGGTCCACAACCCGATTTGACATAAAGTTGTGAGCGGCCCTTTATCTACCAACACCACTACAGGCTGCTCCCCAATCTATCCCCTCACCTTCATCGTGTGATTTGGAGTAAATCCCACTATTGAGTTGAGGACACCTCCATTACATCAGGGTGTAAGAGCTCATCTCCCTCCATCGCTTCTTCTTCCAAATCCTAACTATATGCTTTCTCCTCATCCAAATTGTAAGGACCTGAAGCACACGATCCTTGCACTTATGGTCAAGTGCATACTTCTCATCACATCAGAAACATAATCATTTTTCTCTTTTGTTCTACACCTCATCCTTTGTTAGACGCTTGAAATTGACACTTGGACAAACCCCCATATCCCTCTCCTTCCACCCCTCCATCTGGAACAACACAATCTTGGTTCTCGGTGTTAGGGCTGTTGATATACTCATTTGGAATCCTCCCATTGTGTTGTTTTTGATGGTTCTCTCCATCTAGTTCTTGTCTTCTACCATCCGGGCTAGCTCCATCGTCTCCCCTAATCCCTACAGTCTCAACTGTTGGAGGGCTACACGTATGCCGGGCTTTAGGCTTTTTCATGAAATTCTTTCAATGCTGCTTTAGAAATCTCTCGTCATCTGGCCCTACATTAACTCAAATCTCTGTTTATACTCCTTAACATTCCTCTCTCGAGTCAAGGTAAATAATTGCTCGTGTAGGTCTCTTTTCTGAAGGGTTCAGAAACGTTCCAACAAGCAATTCTTAAATTCCTCTCACGAGTGAATTTGATATTTAGCGTCTCTCCACTGAAACCATGCTAGGGCTTTCTCCTCAAAGCATAACCTTGCAACCATGAGATTCTCTTTCTCATTCACCTCAAAATATCACTCTACCCGGTACATCCAACCCTATGCATCTTCTCTCTCGAAGATTGACATCTTTAACTTTCTAACCCCAACATCTCGACCCCAACCCAACTTTCTCTCCCTTTTGTGATTCCCCCCATGTATTCAGGATGAAAATCCCTTCGATCATAAACATACCTTAACCTGACTTCTCTCATTCGTTCTTCATACTCTTCCATACCCCCTTTTTCGACCCAACCCCCCTGTATTTGGAAATCCCGAATCCACCCCCAATTGGAACCTTAGGGGAGATTCTTGACGGTGAATGCTTTCCTTCTCATGTTTCTATTGTCCGATCTCTTTCCCTTTAGATTTGGCCGAGGATTCATTGGTCGAAACTTGGTTAGAGTTTGCAATTTGAAATGTAGGTGAGACTTTGGATTGCATCTCAATGAACATCCTCTTCATCTCCTACAAGCCTTCAAATCTGTTTTCTATTCAGTTTTTATGGAGGAAAGCCTTCCTTCTATGATTGAGAACCTTTCCCCAATCCGAAATTTAATTTGTCCCATTCCTTTCATTCACTCTTTCAAAGCATCCACTTTCCTTGCTTCTATCACTTTTGGACGGTTTCAAAATACCTTTACGCCGAGATATCGTAGTTTGGCTTGCCAGTAGTCTCCAATCCTAACTGTATAGGGATAGGGCACAACGACATTTGTGACAGCTCAACTGGATGATTTTGTCACACGATTCCGTCATTGGCTATCACGACTGTATTAGTGATTCCGACTTTGAATCGCGAGGTTTTGCGACCCTTGATCCGGTTTTTGCTTCCCAGATAGCTCGTTCAAGACTGTATTACATCATAAATGCGTCACCTGTATGTCGCGATCCCGTCTGTTGCTTCCCAAGAAGGTTGAAACATGACTATTCCACGTATTTTTCTGTACACCGCAATCCCATCGTTGGCCTCACAACTATCTCGGATTGTGACTGCTATGCAGCTAGGCATGACGCTGCGAACCCGACGTCTTGACGATTTCGACAAATATACAAAGGTACAACAACGATCAAATGCTCTGATACCAATTTGATACGAACCAAAATGTCTTTCCACATAAATTAGGGCAACACAAATATTTTATTTCAATAACACCAAACAACACAACTCAAATATATAAGGATAAACACTTGCAGTTCAAGAGGTAGACAATCTCTTTTACTTACAATTTGAGATGCAGGAAATTTCTTTCAAACCCTAAACCTGAGACTCAAAAACACAATCTCATGCATACCCTAACCCTAAGCATAATAAACCCTATTTATACCCCACAATATTAACAAAAAAAAGGCTAAATTGCTCGTAGGCGCCGGCATAACACTATTCAAATGACTATGCTGGAAATTAATGAGATATAATTCATTAATTTCTTGTGGAAATTGCATAGCAAATTTATTTTGTTAGTACTATGGAAATAATTTTATAATCCATGGGTTGGTCCCTTTGCTTTTTTGTACGTAAGTGTTACTCCTGCAATGAACAACAATTGGCATAAATTCAATAAGTCTAGAAAGCGGTAACGCGCATTAGTCATGATAAATTAAAGAAACAATGCTTTTGTCACATTAACGTGCTTATCTTCCCGAAATTATCTACCAACTTCTTAATGGATTACTTTCATTTAGGTTTTGCATTCGCCTCCCATATTTTACTTAAATTCTTAGATTCCTTTCTTTGATTCAGATATTCCTAATTAGTTGATGATGTGATTATTTGAAATGCAGTATCTGGGTTGCCAGAAGACCACCAGGCTATGCTTTTATAGATTTTGATGACCGCAGGGATGCAGAAGATGCTATTCGTGACATGGATGGTTTGTTAAATTCGCTGTCTTTTGTTTAGGTTTTGCAATGAATTATCATATTTTAATTTTTTTTTGTGATATGGAATTTATAAATTTTGCATAAGCTTATTAAATGATTATGGACATTAAAATTTTTCTTTGGAACTGATGTAATATTTTGGAAATATCAACTTGTATTAGTGTCTTTTGTAATCTGGCTGGAAGGGCTGGAAGTTTACTTAAAGAAAAGCTTCATGTTTACACATTTAGGTTGTTTTTTCCCATTAATCATTTATATATGGAAACTTTTAGCTTAAATATGTGATGCGAATCTGTCAGTCTGTGTTTGTCAGTAATGTAATTGTTCATTTGTTTTTGTTTCTTAGTTTATTTCAAGTGTAATAGCATATGCATGATGTGGACTCCTATATAAACATAATGTGCTCTCTATTTCATTTTGATAGTTAGCACGGTCTAATTTTTCGTTGTATGATTTTAATTTAGTCCATATTATTCCAATTAACATCTAGCATGTTTTGAAGCATTACAATCAAGGGATTTGCTAAATAGTCTTCACTCTAATTCATTTATGGTATTGTTGTTATCTTCTTCAAGCTATTATACATGTGTTTCCAGCTGCTTTCCTTGTGCCGCTAGCCTTCCACCAACTTAGATGTGTGTGTGCGTGCGTGTTTGCTATTTGTTGCTTCGTAGCTACAGTTCCACTTATTACCATTATTGAACTATGGCTTCTAAGTCCGCTAATTGTTGCACGTTCTTTTTACTGTTGACTTAGTTGAATGGGTTTGATGAACTTGTTTATTGCTCTATTGTTGAACTTGAAAAACTGTTGAATTTGTACTCATGTAGGTGGCATTAGATCCTTTTAGTTTTTGTTTAGATTTTTATAAACTTTGGTTAGTTTTTATTTTGGATCACGCTATAAATAAGACTCTGAAGGTGGTTAAAAAAGTTGCTGAAAATTGAATGTTGAAATATACTTAAAGTTTTCCTGCCATCTTTTATTAGCGTTGGATTTGTATACTTTGTGCGCATAAAAGGTGCAAATGACGTTTTTTCGGAGGAGATTTCTTCTATTGGCTTGAAATTTAGTTTTGCCAGATGGGGTGTTTTCTAAATTATTTAATCGCTAGTTTGTATGCCGATTGAAATTTCGTTGTACAAGGTGTGTGTTGGATTTTGTCTTTCAATTGTGAACTTAACCATTATTGAAAATTAGTTTTCATGATCTTAATATCGTAAATAATAATAAAATTTTTATTTCTAGCGTTACATTAGTTAAACAAAAGTTTCAGAGACTTTGAAGAAATGAAGTAGGGAAAATAATAGGACTTGATACTATTTTAATAGAAGTATTGAAATGTTTAGGAGACCTGAGAAATTTTTGGTTTGCTAAAATTTTTTAATATTTTTTTTAAATTAAAAAAATGCGTGATAAGTGAACAAAGAGTTCATTAGTTCATATTTTTAGGAATAAAGGGAATGCACAATTTCGTGCAAATTATAGTGGAATTAAGTTAATGTGTCATGCATTAAAGTTATGACAGAGTTATTGAATATAGGTTGCGACGTGATATAAAAATTTATCAAAATTAGTTTGGATTCATGTTGGGTAAGTCTACTTTGGAAGCTATGCATTTATTGAGTTGTTTGATGGACAAGTACATAGAGAATAATGATGATCTACATATGATTTTTATTGATTTAGAAAAAGCTTATGATAAGGTTCCAAAGTACTTTGGAGAATCCTAGAAAGAAAGGTGTTTATATTGCTTATATTCAAGTCATTAAAGATATTTATATTAGAATTGTCACTTGCGTTCGATCACAAGGAGGATTGACTAAGTTTTTGCTATTTTAGGGATCAACTTTAAGCTCATATCTTTTTTCTTTAGTTATAAATGTTCTTACGGGACATTTACAAGAGGATGTGCCTTGGTGCATGCTTTTAACTAATGATATACTTTGTGGATAATAAGACTAGTGAGAAAGAGTCCGGGAAAAATTTGAATTATGGAGGTCAACTTTAGAGTGTAAAAGCTTTCATTTAAGTAAATTTAAAGCTAAATAGATGAAATGTAATTTTAGTAGTAGTAGATTTTGTGGCTGGATTGTAATAATGGGTGATCATGTCATTAAATGGAGTGAACATTTTATATATCTTAGGTCTATTGCTGATGGTGATATAAATGAGGATGTTGTTAGTAGAATTCAAGTTTCATGGTTGAAGTGGAGTAATGCATCAGATCTATTGTGTGATAGAAAAGTATTGCTTTGGCATAAAGGAAAATTTTTCTAAATGTTGCAATACTTTATGGCGCAGAATGTTGTATTGTAATTGAGAAGCATAAAATGAAGTGTTGCTTAGATGAGAATGTTTAGGTGGATGAGTGATTATACACTTAGACAAAATGACAAACGAATAGATCCGCGAAAGGTTCGAAGTGGCTAGTGGTAGAGTAAAGAGAGTCGCCTCAAATGGTTTGGCCACAGTAAACACGACATTTGATGACCTTGTTAAGAGAGTAGATGTTTTAGATTTGACTTATGTTAAGAATAATAGAGGTAAACCTAAAAGACTTGGGCATGTTGTATAAAAAATGATCTTAATTTATTATAATTAAATAAAAATATGACAATCAATAGGACATAATGGAGAAAAATGATTCATATAGTCGACTTCACTTTGTGTGATAAAGGATTTTTGTTGTTATTTTTTTAGAATTGTGAATTTTGACGAGTATTAAATTACATTTTGAATTGAAAAATAATATTTGCTATCTCTATATTAAACAGTTTTTGCTAAAATCATAAGTTGGTAACCTGAGGATCGTGAATTCAATTTATGCTCATGTGTTTGCGCGCTTCCTATATGCAATCTGGGGAGTGTATGGGGAATGGCTTTGGATATTCTTCCTGGGGTTTGTCCTTGTGCTCTTCCTCTTTCATTCATGGCAACTGTCCTCTCATGGCGACTTTCTTCCCCAACTTTTGATCTTCATCGCTTGCACTCACCAACACTTTCTCTTCTTGATCTCCATTCTACTACAATCACCTCCCTCTTTGGAAGCTCATATGGTCATGATAGTTCCTCCAATTTAGCCACTATCACCTTTGTTGCCTGTAGTCCCTTCTATCTCGAGGGCTGCTTTTGCTACCCATACTTCATGAGATATTGCACCTTCTGTTAGTTGTACATTTTTGTTCATTTGTTGAGGTTGTGAGTGATTCTTCAATCATGACATTCCATTTCTATTGGGCTATCGGGCTATCGGTCTATCGGGCTATCGAACTACCGGGTCATCGCCGCATTCGGGCTATCGAAATATCAGACTATCAGGCTATCGCGATATTGGGCTATCACGATATCGGGTAATCGGGCGATCGAGATTTCGGGGTTTCGAGGTTTCGTGCTATCAGGTTGTTGGATTGTCCGACTATCTTGCTATCGGACAGTCGCGCTATCACGCTATCGGGCGATCGGTCTAGCGAGCTAGTGGGCTATCGGACTATTGGGCTATAGAAATTCCAAGGTTTCGAGGTTTCATGCTATTGGGCTGTCGGACTGTGTTGTGTTATCGGGTTTTTGGGCTATTGGATAAATCAAGCCATCAGGCTATCGGGCTATCAGTCTACCGGGCTAACAGTTTATCACACTATCACGCTATCGGGCTATCGGGCTATCGGGCCATCGAGGTTTCGTGCAATCGGGCTATCGGACCATCGAGCTATGAGAATCAGGCCATGGGTCTATCGCGCTAGTGGGCTATCAGGCTATCGGTCTAGTGGGCTAGCAATCTATCGTGCTATCTGGCTATCGGGCCATCGAGATTTCATGCAATCGGGCTAGCGAGCGATTGGCTACCGGGCTATGGGACTATCGAGCTATCAAGCTATGGGGTGATCGGGCTATCGCACTACTGGGCTATCGTGTATCGGTCTAGCTGGCTAGCGGGCTTTCGCGCTATCAGTCTATCGGGCTATCGAGGTTTCGTGCAGGCGGGCTATTAGGTTATGGGGTTTTCAGGCAATCGGACTATCACACTATCACACTATCGAGCTATCGCGCTATTGGACTATCAGACTATCGCGCTATCGGGCAATCGAGCTGTCGAATTGCCCGTCTATCGGGCTATCCCGCTATTGGACTATCGGGCTATCGCGCTATTGGACTATCGTGCTATCCCGCTATCGAACTATCGGGCTATCCTGATATCAGACTATCAGGCTATCGCGTTATCAAACTACTAGGCTATCAAACTATCAGAATATCGCGCTATTGGGCTAGCCGTCTATCGGGCTGTCGGACTGCGCGTCTATCGGGCTATCGAGCTATCGGTCTATCGGGCTATTTGGCTATCCCGCTATCGGGCTATTGGGCTATCCCGCTATCGGACTATCAGGCTATCGCATTATCAGACTATCAGACTATTGGACTATCGGGCTATTGTGCTATCGGACAATTGGGATTTCATATTGTCAGGCTATCAGTATAAGGAGATAACAGACTATCACGCTATTGGGCTATTGCGTTCTCGGGCTAGCGGGCTATCAGGCTATCGGGCTATCGAGATTTTCGGGTTTCGGGGTTTCAAGGTTTCGTGCTATCGGGCTGTCGGGCAGTCGGGCTATGAGGCTATCGGGCTAGCAGTCTATCGCGATATCAGGCTACCACGGTAGCAGTCTATCGCGATATCAGGCTAGTGAGGTTTCGTACTATCGGGTTATCGAGTTATCGTGCTATCTGGCAATCGGGCTATTGAACTGTCGCGCTATCGGGCAATCGCGCTATCGGGCAATTGCGCTATCTGGCAATCGCGCTATCGGGCAATCGCGCTATCAGACTATCGGGCTATCGCGCTATTGGACTATCGAGCTATCAGACTATCTGGCTATCGCGCTATCAGACCATCAGACTATTGCGCTATCGAACTATAGAGCTATTGTGCTATCGCGCTATCGGATAATCGGGTTATCGTGCTATCGGGCTATCAGTCTAGCGAGCTAGC